AAGCCATTGGCCATAGACCGCCTTCGATTTGCACCGAACACACAACGTTCGTCCGTACGGTCGTTCCATTAGCCTTACGCGGAAAAGTACATCTGATCGGATTACTGGACTAAATCTAGTGCGCTGTGTATCGCTATAAACTAACGTTGGACCGATCACGATACAGCTTATGAAGACTCCCTTGTAATGTGTATCGAACCACTGCCACATGACAATTCTCTACACACGGCTATTCCGAAGGATTCATAATCGAAAGATGGAAAGCTGTGGATGATGATGACGATGTTTCATTAGATGGTGCATTAATGTGTCAACGAGTCGAAAACAACAAGAGTCGCATTTCTGACGGTACCGAGTGCCGAAAGAACGCGAACAGTGCGACGAGCACTGGTGAATGTCACTTACACAGACTGACGGAGGTCTTCATGAAATATCCGCTCGGGCAAGGCTTGCCCTCCTTTTGCAGGAAGCGTCGAACCCAGCCGAAGAAAGTCGGTTCAGCCTCCGCTGACGGGCGTCGCAGCCGAAAGTCGCACAGCGTCACCGAGTTGCGCAGATGAGGGGCCAACGGAAGCGAGGGGTCGACCATCTGTGCTGCTCGTCTTCGGCAAAGGAGGGGGCGGTGATGACGTCGTCGCGCGTTAGCCATACAGCAGCGAACGCATTGCGGCGTTTGTCTGACGATGGGGTGACGAAGGGGTGAAAGGCGCCCACGCGTTGGTCATTGTCCACTAGGGTCCTCCCTCGACCGTCGTTGAATATTATCACCGCAACACAACGTTTACGTATCTGCCCATGCAAAATCCATGACGTTGCACGAGCACACGTATGGTGGGGAATGGAGGAGGATCAATGGAAGCCGATCAATGCAGAACAAATTCCTGCCAGAGCCGCTAAACGCCGTGCGAATTTTCACGTTACGACAATACGTGAAGAAACGACGGAAGAGGAGCGGGAAGAGCAGCGGGAAGAGGGGGAGGAGAAGGATAAGCTTAGGCGGTGGTGATGACGGTCATGACAACAGCGGACGACGAGAAACGCCACTGGACGACGACCTCAACGACGACGACTATGAAGAGGATGAGGACAGCAACGACGCCGGCGGCGGCGACGATAATTGATTTCTTATACGATTCCCGACGCGTGTTAATGCGATATGGCTTTGTGGCCTTCATTATGAAAGTTCAAAATCGATACCGTTCCTCGAATAAAACATGTTAACGCACAGACCAAGTGATAAACGACGACGTTGAGTTCATTCACTGAGCTCGGCGAGGAGGAGAACCATTAGTGATTGTTGTCGTCCATGAATGTCCAAGACCGATCGACCAACAACGTGGCCACAAATTTCGTGTACAGTCAGAGGCGACGATGACAAGCACAAACTACGCGAAAAGAGGATTAGGAAACGGCTTATGTGAATGCTTGAAGACGATCGATCAAGCGATCGTTTTCAGGATCATACTAATAATTGTGCGCGATATTCGAACTTGACTCAAACACGCCGTGTTTAGCGTTACAACGTGTTTTTTACGACGTTAAGCATAAACTAATCCGTGGAGTCAGCGACGTACGTGGCGCAGTCGTGATTCACAGGTGACTATCAACTATGAGCCGAAGAATTTTGGTGGAACAGGGTGACAAGAGCTGTGGGAGACAGCTACAGGGTTTTGCAACGAAGTCTTGGATAGGCTTCTTAATACAACACTGGAACGACAAAGACAAATATTCATCCTATGAAACAAAAATATCATTCCGCTGTCTATTTCCAGCTATGATTCATCATCACGCATCTTGCGTATCTTCTTCGAGTTGACTATGAGTGAGCGTCACAGTCAATTAAGGTCCGCGGCATGACCGCAATGCTCAATCTAATGACGTTCTTTGCACAGTAGGCCGAATCGTAATTTAGGAAGGTGGTACCGTTTCGGTGAAGGACAAACTCATAAACAATTGCAGGTATGCTTCAAGGAGGTATATTCAAATTTGGTGTTGGCCGCCGAAGCGGCGGTATCGGTAGTTTGGATCCCATAATAAGATTCCTCAAGCGAATGATGTTTCGTCCTTGCATATCACATCATCAAACGATGAAATTCGTCGTTCCAGAAGCAATGAAGGTAATACTTCCCATAGCTCGACTGTGCTTAGTACTTCATAGCGATACTCGACACTCGTTTGAAAACAAACGATCGCTGAGGATGTGACGTAGACAACTTTGTTGCAAGACGACGTGTTTTCGGCAAGG